ATACTTATTACTATAATTTAGACATGTTCTGGGCCACAAGTATATTATATATACTTGTGGTCCAAAACTCTATGACTTCTTCCAATGTGGCCCAGAGAAACGAAAAGGTTGGACATTCCTGGTTTATGGCATTGTGAAACTTCTTTTTTAAGTTTATGCTGTTGAAATAAATAAATAAATAAGTAAATAATTTGTTGGTTTTGTTTACATGTTTATTGGGCCACATTGAAACTTGCCTTGGGTCACAGTTTGGACACCCCTGATCTAGACACAAATGTTTTAGCAAAAACATTGATTTATTGTGTTTCTAATATTTTGTGCTGAAACTTTCAACTGCTGTAATGGCTCTTATAGTTTGTGGCATACCTTCCATCAATTTTTTTATGAATATCTAATGAAATACTTTTCTGGAAATTTGGTCTTTAACACATCTACCAGTTCAGCTTTGTTTCTTGGACAGTTCTCACATACACATAATCAATGCTCCAGTCCATCCAAAGATGCTCATTGGGATTAAGATCTGGGCTTTTATTTGGCCAATTTAACTTTTCACCCATATCTGCAAACCACTTTGTCAAAATCTAAATAGTATAGCAGGATATATTATCTTGCTGATAGATGTAGGGGCCTTCCCTAAAATACTGCAATGTTGGAAGTGAGTCATTGTTCAAATGATCAGATACCAGACAGCATTTGTTATTTTATTGATAACAACAAGTAGATCCAAGCCAGACCACGTTATCATCACCACCAAACTTCTTTATTGAGACAATACAGTCTGGAACGAAACTTTCCCTGGCATTCATCACACCCAGAAATGGCTATCCAACTGGTAAATTCATCTCTGTAGAATAGATATCCACTGCTGTATAGTCCAAGTACAGAATAACACCTAAAAACAAATTTCCAGCGGATAAATACATAAATGGCATGAGACAGAAAACAGGAAAATAAAATTGTAAACATTGCCACAGCCCAGGGTGGTTGAGTATTAGGCTTTCACAGGCCTGTATGGTGTGGAGGTACAGATCACTCATGACTGATTTAACTCATGATATGATTTAACATATGGGTTTGATACTTATTCAACTTTGTTGTACATCATGGCCAGAATTTTTATATAAAGTTCTTACTTTTTAAAATAATTCAGTAAAACCTCACTTATGTGGCTACCCCTGAAATATCCCTGTAAACTGCATAAGTTTTAATATAAATCATACTTTATTTTGGTTGATGCTCATTTAAATATCCAAGATATGACATCTTTGTTGGCAGACAGAGCAAAAATAAAACCTGTATTCCTAAACTCAATGTATTATTTAATTAAAGCACTTTAAATGGAACTGTGCTTTGTTGCTATAGTTTTTGAATAGTTTGCTAAGATCGTTCTAATAGATGATGATCAAATAAAATAAATCTTTATTTACATTTGACAAATTAAATTTACTTCCAATTTAGTTATTTAGAAGCAAGGCAATTATATATTTGCTCAGTAATTTTATATAAATTTTAATTTGTACAACTTTTTGTAAAAATATAATTTAATCATAAAATATAATATTGTGGATATAATGTTATTTATTGCTACAACTTAAAACCATACTTAAAACTTGAAACACTAAAAATATTCATTTTCATATGGGCCAATGCTACCATATCAAGAGAGAATACAACTAAGGAAATTAGCACAAAGGAGGAAAAGAAGAAAGAAAACAATTAACATAGACTTCTAGTTTGACTGACTCAGGCATGTTTTTTTCCATTAGAATGACATTTGCTCCAACCCATTGTGATGATTTTATCGTGGATTCTATGTCATAGTCATAAACCCTATAAATTTCATCTAGTGTTATGATGATTTTCATGAAATTTTTGTTGGTGTTGGCACAATAAAGCAGCTGTTGGTTGATTATGACACTTTCTTTTTCTGGTTGTTGGTCAACAGATGTGGCATGAGTTTCGCAGCGATACATACAAAGTTTTTCAGTCAAAATTTTGTAGCGCAATCCAATGCTGATGCTGACTCTTTTAGCAACATCTCACATAGTCAAACAACGATTTGCACAAATCACGGAATGAACTGCATCAATGTTTTCATCATTTATTGATGTTGAAGGTAGTCCTTATCATGGATCTTCCTCAATTGATGTTCTACCTGATTTAAAATGCTTAAACCACTTGTGACACTGTGAATGGGTTCACACAGTTCTCCTCATAGGCCTTCTGAAGCAAAGCCCATGTTTCAGTAATGTTTTGTCAGTCTTAAAACAAAATTTTACAAACATGTTGCTCCTTAGTCTTTTTATATTCATTTCAAGAGCAGTGACTGCACATGTTCATTTCAACAGTTCTAAATCACCAACTGATCAGAATAGTATGACTCACAGTGGTATTGTGTTACCAAAGTTTGCCACTAGGTGGCACCACTTGCTTGAACTTGATTGGTGTGATGGTTTGTGCGCTATGACAAAAGTCTGGTCTCTTCTTTTAAACAGATTTTGTATAAGCTATTAGCTGGTGATAGCTGAAAGATATTGAAAATGTTTATCAAGTAAATCTTAAACATTTCTACTGGAATGTGGTTTAATTTGTATTTTGTTCATAATTATTGTTTTTAGTTGGATATAACATATTACTGGCTACTCCAGTCAAACTGTATAAGAAACTAGTGATTCAAATTATGTGAGTGTTTACTGTTTTGGACTTTCTTCTACAATGCTGTTCTCAGGGCCTCTACCCATCATCTATTTTTAGATTGTGTCTTCCAAACCAATGTATTTTGATCATTCTGACAGTTAGAATAGTGTGTCTGAAGAAAGCCATTAGACACACAAGAAAATTGAAATATTCCCTCTTAAACAATTTAATTAGTTTAGAAAATTATCTCCACACAGTGTCTGGTTTTGTTATACTCCATCAACACCAGTGTGATAAGTTTACATAAAAAACATGCCTTCAAGATGCATTGGTTTATAAAATAACAATCTAAAAACAAACAATAACACTACACCTTACACACTTTTCCAGCAAAAGTTTAATCAAAACAAATGTTTTCAGTCTTGTATTCAGAGGTCTGCTTCAGGTTAAAAAACATATTAAATTACATATTAAAGAAAAGAACTGAGTTCTAATGGCAGAACTATAACGCAGAAAAAATAAGCAGTTTAGTTCTGCCATTAGAACTCAGTTGGAGAGAAATAATTTATTTTTTCCAATACATCCTAAAAATCTTTATAGAACACTGCCTTTGCTCAACCATTTTACATTGTACAGTATAGTGCAATAAATTGTTGTACTGAGCATTAGTTTCAACAAGAAATGACTTGAACTTCAGTGGTTAAGTTACAATTTAGCTCAGATGAAATTCATTATTTTAATAACTTCTGCATTGTGTTTACAAATTTAACTGTCATAAATAAGGCAAGCAATTGCCATCCCTGTTGCAGGAATTTCATGAAGTGGACAGATGCAACTTACATACCTGGACTTTGCTGATGACATTACATTGATATTAGAAACTCAACCAAAGATGCAGAGTATTACCACAAGCCTTGAATATGAGACTGGAAGGGTGGGATTGCAGATTAGCAGTTGTAAAACAAAAATAATGTTCATAAATAGGCAAACAAAAATAAAAATCACAGTTGGGAGTCAAACAACAAATGAAGTGGAGGAGTTCTGCTATTTTGGTAGCATGTTATCACCAGATGGAGGCATTGAACTGATATAAAATGCCAACTTGGTAAAGCCTCAGCCATCTTTCAGAGACTATGCTTAATCTGGTCCATACAAGCAATCAGTACAGTGACTAAGATACACATGTGAAACATGGAAAGATGCAGAGAATATTACCCAGAAACTCAATGTCTTTGAAGGATATTTAGAACTACATGATGTGACCATATCACAAATGAGGAAGTCCTCAGAAGAAGTGGCCTACATGAACTACAGGACATTGTTACAGAGCATAGAATGTATTTTACAGGCATGTATGTACTTCGTCTACCAGGGAAATGCTTACCAAAAATAGCCTTTCAATGGTAACCATGCAGTGAAAAGGGGGAACAAGATAGACCACAATCTGGCACTCAACATATAAAGAAGATTGGCATTCCATGAGATGATGGTGAAACCATTGCAGCTGACCACATTCACTAGATAAAGCTGATTGCCCAGTGTGCAACTTGGCACAGAACCTAAGACTAAGACATTATGTACTTTCTAGATTGAGACTTAGTTTGTTGCATAACACACTTTGATAGATGAAGCAGTGATAGGATATCAATTTCATTGCATTTAGGTTGTTCATCTTTTGCTGAACTAAGCCTTTGAACTAATATGATGCCTCTCTGTCAATACATATGTATTTCTTGTCTTGGAAGATGTAGATAACAGAATATGAAATAGTTTCAATTACATTTTTTTTAAATTCTCATATAATGCATTTCTTGTTTCAAGCAGGCATTTTTTAATTTTATCTGCATCAAAAAATGGCTTAAGTTTGGCAAGGGGGAGACTTCAATGCAATTTTTTTCCTAAGTCATTGAACAATTCATAATTTGGGTTGCTGATGTCTAATTTGAGCACTAAACTCTCACCTTCAGATTTGTGAAGATTGCTTCCTACTGAGAAGTGGAATGGTCTGGAATCAGCCTGTTAAACTCTTGTGACTTTAGGCTAACTGCAAGTGTTATCTATCAAAATAACTTGAATTTGTTTTGAATTCTTCCTTATTCTGTGCCATACTTTACCTGTAAAAGAATAACAAAGATTAACATAACTCCTCTGGTTCCAGACTTAGGGACACTATAAATTTGACTTACCTTTGCCTATTTAATTTACATGTGTTTTAAGAAAGAAAGAAAGAAATTTGAACTTTGGGACAATTTTGTGTGTATAACTAAATATTATATTATCTAAAATTGATTGATTGATTTTTTAAGGCAATTTTTAAATTAATAGCTGTTTAGAAAATAAATTTTATTATTATAAATATTGACTTTTCATAAAATTAAAAAATTTTCTGAATTAAATTTATTCTAGTCTTTAGGATTGATGATCAATCTAGTGGAACATTGTAAAGAAAACAGAGATCAGATTGTCAGAGCACATTGCGTTGGATCATACGAAACTCCAAATGATGGAAAAAAGCTTACTGCAATAGAAGCACTAGTAGAAGTAAGATATTATTTACTACAAAAGTTTTAAATTTGTAATTTCTTATATATAATTTAAATAACAAATTTTTACATACATTGAATAATGAAATATAAATGAATATAATAATTTTCATTAAAAACTTAAAATTCATGTTTTAAAACTGCAAACTAGCTTATAGAAATTAAAAAATATTGTTTCCTCATATATTTTCCTCATAACGTTTATCATTTGAATATATAAACAATAAAATAAAATCATCATTGTAATTCCATTTAAGCAAAAAAAAAAAAGTACAGTCAAACTTATTAACTTGAAAATAACAATAATTTTAATTTGATTTAAAAAAAATTTTTGATCTTACAAGTTTTTAGAATTTAAGTAGTGATTTTATTTTACTATTTATAGATTCTGATGATGATGGTTCATTTCAAAACTATTTAGTAAAAGAATAGTTTTTGATTTTTGTAAGTAATCCTATATTTTTTAGGATTGAATTATTTGAGAATTCATTTTTTTAATACATGAAAAGTCTTGATTTATTTAAAAATTAACTCTTAAAATATTGAAGGAGAAAATTAGTGTTAGAACAATGATGAGGCAGTCCTTTAACTTATAAACTTTATTCTAATGTAAGACTATACATGCACTTGTTCACACATCCATAACTTGGCGTGAAACTGAAAACAGGTCTTTTCTTGTTTCAAGCAATCTTACATGGGGGTTGCCAGTTCATACACAGTTTGCGATATCGACACTTGCTTTAATTTAGTATTACCTAACAATTAGACATTAAAATTATCATGTTAATTTAATTTTTAATTGTAAGGTTTGTCTTAAAATAAATCAGTTATTAGTTTTCTCTTAAAGCTGAGTTAGATTACTAGAAAGTATTTGAGTTGTCATTATTATTATTATTTTTTTTTTACTTCAAGACTAATGTTTATTGTTAAAGATTTCTTAATTATATTCTAAGTTTAATATTTTGTACCTGAAAATATAGAAAACTAACATTCAGCTATTCAAAATTTAATACAGATTATATGATTTATAGTAGATTATTAAAAATAATATAATTGTAATATTTTCAAGTTTAAAATATTTATCTTTGGGGTTGTCACCTTAATAACTTTATATCTAATTTTATTAAGTAACTTAAAAATGTAGAGTGGATGTCACGCCCAATGTTCCCTCTAATTTTTTTTTGTAGATGAGCAAAACATATACTTCTCTGAGCAAAAAAAATTTTTGCTGAGCAGATTCTGAGCAAAAAAATTTTCTAAGCATATATATATATATATAAAATCTTATTTTTTCCTATAAAAATTAAAATAATGAATTATAAAGTAGGGATTAAAATTCATTTTAAAACATACTTTTATACGAAATATTATCTTTTGTCAATGATTTAATGTATTTAATCGAAATATACGCAGCAATAATCATGTTGCAGACAGAGTGAGAAATAAGTAAACAATAATTCAAATCGATGTGCATGCTCGCCTGTGTGGCACATAAATTTTCGTGCGCTGCAACAATTTGAGCAGTGCGTGGACGCACAACAGCGCAGCTTAGAGGGAACATTGGTCACACCAACAATTTTATTGATTTAAGAGAAAAATTGGTTTTAAAATGTTTTTTAACGCCTTTTTATGTGAACTTTTCTCTCTCAAATCAATATCTAATTTTTATTTATCATAAGAAAAATATGTGTTAAGTTGACAGGTAGCAATCCAGAGTCATTAGATTTGTGTGCATGAAGCTGACCAGATCCTGAATGGAGGCAATAGAATCTTTTGATGTTTCAAAATTATTCACTTTTGTAAAAATGCCTGACTTGACAAGAGCTTACATTGTTATTGGACAAGACCAGATTTTCTACACACAGAAAGAGCATCCATATGCTTTTGTCTTCAGGCTTAGACAATTATGGGTTTACAATAGCCAATTCCTATGAGCTGGTTTTTCACTCAGACAAATTTCCATGCAGAATGAATAATTTCAAAGAAGTAAAGAAGTGGCACACCTCAGAAGATGATAAGCAGGAAGAAAATTGAATTTTAAATGCAATGTTTTTCTGCTGTAAAAAATATTGTCGTATTATTGGCACTGTAAGTGGCTATATTTTGAAGTTGAATTTATGTGAAGCCATAAAGTTTAAAGTGCCAAAGTGCAAGTCAGGTGACTATTGGTGCTTAAAACATTACAGCTTATATTTACATTATTTTGATATTCCAGTTAATTTGTAACATAGTGAATTATTTTTTTACCATTTTATTGTAAAATCGAAATTAATTCATTCACTAAAAAAAGTGTTTTTTTACCTTCCCTGAAAAGTTTGTTTTTTTTGGCATTTATTATGGTATTGCATGCTTCGTATATATCTGTATCACTCATATTCATGTATTCTTAATAATGTTGACTTACTGAGTTTTATTTTGTCATCTTAACATTAAACTGAGTTTTATTTTGTCATCATAACATTAAACACAATAGTGAATTTTCCCCTAAATGTGATAATCTTTTATAATACTTACAATTGCATTTATTTATATGTACTGTCCATAACAAATTATACTTAATTGTGTAATTTCAGTTATATTTTTTTTATCATCTGTGATTTGAAATTATAGCAGTTTTAATAAAGTTAATTATTTTATGTAGGTATTTTTAGTCAGATTAGAAGCTGCTAAAAAATCAGAAGAACAAGCTGATGCTCTTCTTACATCTCCAGAAGAAAAAAAAGAAGCTGAAAGTAAAAAAGATGGTAAAGAAAATAACGCTTCATCATTGCCTCAAGCATTGCCTGCTGAAGATCTAGAAGAAACTTTAATGAAAGGTATGTAAAATTAAAATATAAAATAATGATGGAGTAGGTCAGTCAGTTTTATAAAAGAAAAATTGTCTACAGGATTTCTTAAATAAATAAAACAAAGTATCTTAACACGTATTATTTACATTTTACAAATATTTTCTAATGCAGAGTGTAAATACTCTGTATGTGTATAAAATTGTAAAATTATCTGAAGTATTTATTTCAATAAAATAATAATAATTATTGATGTAATTTAATTAATTATAACTGAAGTAAATATTAGATATTTAAAATTATGAAGTATTTGATTCTTTTTGTATAATATAATGAAGAAAAGGCTTTATGCTAAATCAATCATTGTCTTCTTACAAGGGAAGGTTGGGAATTACCAATGTCACTTTTTAATAGAATGTGTGTCATCTTATAGAAATTTTCTTCCTGGTAAATGTACTGAAAGTTTTTTTTTGTAAAAAATCAAAAAAATTTTATTTAAATGTCATGATTATTGTAAACACTAAGCAAGAAGTGACATGGCTGAGTTGTCTATTTCATTGGTTCTGTGCTTCATTTTACAGAAGTTTGTAATTTGTAAATAATTTTTTTAATGTATATTTTCACATTTCTCCACTTAAATATCTTTATAGTTTGTGTAAGTGTTTATTATTATTATTATTATTTAAACTGCATTTAATGACTGTTTTGTGTCATTTTTATTAATTCTTAGCATTCACATGTGTGCGTAATACTAGAAAATTTATGGGTGAAAGTAGCTCTTTTTTTGGTATATGGTATTTAAGATCAGTAGAACAATAATATTTTTTTTATTGTCTTGTTTACAAAAGAATGACTTTCTCCCACTATAATTTAAAAGTGTATTTGCAGAAAGCTATTATTATGGAATCACTGATGTTGAAAAGTCAAAGAAAAATTATTATTTTGTCAATGGAAAGGTAAAATTGCTGGATAAGCAAAGCACACAGTCAAAAATCATAATGCTATCAGGAAACAAGTTTGTTGTTAAAAGAAGATTGTGATGTTGCCAAAAAATGTGTACATTTATGTAATTTTTTCTAAAGGTAATTAGAATATTATATATACACATTTGTGGGTGTGTTGTCTTAATATTATTTTAAAATTCATTTTAAAATAATATTAAGACAATTCTTGAGTGTTATGATGATTTTCATGAAATTTTTGTTGGTGTTGGCACAATAAAGCAGCTGTTGGTTGATTATGACACTTTCTTTTTCTGGTTGTTGGTCAACAGATGTGGCATGAGTTTCGCAGCGATANATTAGAATATTATATATACACATTTGTGGGTGTGTTGTCTTAATATTATTTTAAAATTCATTTTAAAATAATATTAAGACAATTCTTGCTGATGGTATTCTTGCTGATTGTGAGAAGTTCTCTATAGCTTAGATAGTTTCTTGTGCAGGTACAAAGGAAAATGTAGCAAATAAAATAAAATAAACACATGCTACAAATCCAATGAAAGAACCAAAAGTTTATTTTGCCATATATAAATAAGTCCACTTCAAAACTATTACAATGTATATCTCAATTTTCTGTTTCTCTCCTGCATCTGCTGTTCGTGATGCTCACAACCTGAGAACAAAGAGGAGAAATAACTTCTTGCCACTCTTTGAGACCTATTTCTCACTGTGTCTTTTCTTTGTGCTCATCAAGCAAAAAGTGCCTTTTCTGTCCTACAGGCCTGTGCCAAGGGTTTCTCTAAATCCAGGTCTCTCCAATGTCATCAAGTCATGGGGAGCTTTGATTCTACATCTCAATCTTCCCAATTGCAACAAGTCTATTTGGATAGACAAAAGGTCAATGATGAACTAAACCACATGGTCTTAAGACCACAGATATCAATTAATCCATTTGTTGTAATAAAATTAAGTGAAATGACCATTACTTAAAATGGAAAACAGCCATTATGTGCAGTTTAAAACTTACTAGATAATATATATTTACACAGTCTATAAAGATTTTTAAGTGGAGAAACACAAAAAATATACATGAAGGGAAAAAAATTGTTAACAAGTTGTCAACCACAATTTTCCGTACACAGAACAATTGAACTAGACAACTCAGCCATGCCACTTCTTGCTTTGTATTTACATTAATCATGACATTTAAATAAGGTAAAATTTTTTTTGGCTTTTCTACAGAAACAAAGAATTTTACAGAAAAAAGACTTTCAGTATGCTTATTAGGGGAATGATCTGTATAAAATTACCTATATTTCATTAAAAATTGGCATTAATGTCCAACCTTTTATTGTTATATTAATTGTATATAATATATTGATGACTTGGTATAAACCCTATTATTTTTTCAAATATAGATATTAAGTTTTAACTGGTAAGAAATTGTATTTTTAAGTGAGATTAATTTTTAATATATTTAAATTTTATTAAATTATTAACAATAATTGTAAATTATTGAGGCAGAGCATTAGTAAAGCCATCTCTATGTGGCTTACAGAATTGCATTTGTTCTCTAAATTTAATTGACTGATTTTGATAAAACTTTCCATTTCCCATTTCCCAAAACTTGCCATTTTCCATTAATTGCGATAAAAAATTGAAAAATGTAATAAAAAAATAGCTGTCCTTGACTTCGTTTTAAAGATACAAGGTCATAGTGTGAGCATATTCGACAAATTGATATCGTGCAATGTTCCAAGGTTGTTAACATGTCTTTTATGTGTCTTATAGAATTGAGTTCGTTCTGAAAATTTGATGAAGTGATTTTGATAAAACTGCCATTTTCCATTAATCATGATGAGGAATCTAAAAATGCCTATGCTCCTTGATGCAACTGAGTACACTTAATGGAATTTATGGGAAAATTAAAAAAAAAAAGCATTGCTTGTGTCTAACGAAAAATGGGCATTATAAACAAACAGAACACAAGAAGAAAGCAATCGATGCCAATTGTTTTCTTTTTAGATTGCTTCTTTGTGTCATTGTGTGCAAGGATCACCTCTCTGTGTGGCCAGCAAGTGCAAGGATAACCTGTCCACAACTGTCAGATGCAAGGATCATCTTTTTCTGCCCAGCTCTGCCTCAATTCTACCACAATATGACTTTGTCATATCATGATAGAATTGAGGCAGAGCTGGGAAGATATTTGTTATACAGTTTGATATTTATCATGGCTCATCTCTTCTCACTGAATACTGTGTATGACCTTGGCACAGGAATAGGGAATGGCTTCTCATATTTTTCATTTATATAAAAAGATTTTTATTTTAATATTTTTTAAGCTATAGATATATCATATTTACTCACATATAAGATGAGGTTTTTATTCATTTTTTACTGCTTCAAAAACCTAGATTGTCCTATATGCATGAGTGAAAAGATTCTTTGTGTTTTTGCAATAATTTTTGTGAACCATGTATTCAAATTTTTTACCAGATGCTCACCCTCTGGGGTTAAAAAACAAAAGTATTTTATCTGGGTGGTTTGAATCATTCTTGTATATTGTCAGGAGTAAAGATGAATAGTAATAGGATAAGCAAAGTTTTTGAATTGAATTTCAAATTGAAATTCCAAAATTACACAGGAGCCCAATATAAGTTTTCATCCATTCCCACGTGAAAACATATGATTATTTGGAAATCAGAATTCAGAGAAACTCATAAGTGTAATTGATGGAAAGTTTGACTTAAAAATTGGCAAAAAAAATTCTTGATTGTCCAGCTTTACATGAATGTAATATGTTGTCAATTTTACATGATTTTTTTCTTAAAGTTTAAAATGCCAGTAATTTTTGTGGAACAATGTGTGAATTTACATGAATTTCATAATATTTTATTTGTGATGAAATAAAATTATAATTGTACGGTAGACCCCCTATAAAACAGATTTATATAATATGGATTCGTATATAACGGTGAAATAATTGCGACCGTATTCATATAAACACGCTAAAAAAAAAACTCATAAAATATAGTAAAACGTCATCGCTGACTCGTGTCGCGACAGGATTGGTTGAATCTAGACCAATAGTGGATGTTGCACAAACCGTTGAGTTTAAATGAGCGGCGGACCTACCAAAAACCATTTATTATTTAACAGCCATAAAAATTATATTTATATTAATGATGTCTTCAAAGTTCAGCAAATTTTTCGCAGAAAAATAATTTATCAGGAAATATGCACCCGCCATTCGATGCGCTGCTCCATGATGAAATCAAGCTTAATTAATTAAGCAATGGCGTCGTCAAACAGTGCACACTTGGTAATAATCCTACAATTTTTTGTTTATAGCAAAGTTTATATGGATTATTCCCAAAAAATTATACGTGTTTTGGAAATGTTGAGTCAAATTAGTCTAGAATCGATTAATTTTATGGAAGAAAACCTTTCAAACAGCCGTAGTCCATAAACTGCATACGTGCCAGGCTGTGATTGGCTCATGTATTTAAGGACTCATACAACATGAAATTCATAAAAGACAGAATGTATCTATAGTGTTATAGGGGGTCTACTGTATTAATAAATCAAATTTTTTTTTATTTTGATCTTTAAAGTCACACCTCATACTATATTTGAGTAAATATGGCACATAGCCATATAAATTTTGTTTTTATTTATTTACTAGCTGCAAGTACCCACTTCACTAGGTTTTTATTTGTTCATACATTTATATGTAATATAGTTTTTTTTATATATAAAAGACTGTTTCTTTTCTTCTACATAATCTTTCTCTGATTTGATGTGTTTCCATATAATTTTCAAGTTGCTCTTCTGTCTGATTACAGGTATTTCTGTTTCGATATGATTCGAGACCACAAAAATTCTTTCTTACGCTTTGGCATTGTTTTGTATATTTTTACTTTTCACACTTCATTATTCACTTTTCACTTTCTACTTCTTTTCTGTTATTTGTACACTTTTCCTTATGAAAAAATCAACTGTAGCATGTGCATCACACGTCTCCAAAAGCCATCCCCACTACTCACACATAATGGTCCTTGACTATTTTAAAACATTTTCGACTAT